TTGTAACGAATATTGCCGATTTTACTCCGGTTTTTAATTGCGTTCTTTTTGGCATTTTATCGCCTTCGTATTTTCTACTTTACGATTTGACGTCTTGCATTTTTACATCCCGAAGTCACCATAGATGCATTTATCTAGGTATTTGGTTTTTTCACCATCACCATAATCCAGCATGTTTTCCTGGAGCCGTGTTCACTTTTGCTAAAAGTTTGGCTTGTCTTTGCCTTTCTTTCAAGTGGGCTTCTGCTATTAGTATCTAAGTTTATAACTTAGTCAAAATTTGCATACTGCACCTTGTCCGAGTTTCCCCTCAACATTGTATTTGAGTTGCAACGCGGGTTGATTTTACGTTTTCAACCCGATCTCTTCCGAGTTTTGCATTAATCTGTATCCGAGTTTGACCATACACTTGGTAATTTGTCAACTCAGAATTTCACTAAACCCGTGCATCCTACGAGTTTTATATTATTGACTTGGCCGAGGTCAAAGCATTATACGAATTCCGCTTTTATGTCATTTTCCATGACGCATGTTTGTTTTGACTTTACCATTTGGGCAAGCCTGTATTAATAATGGATCTCGTCTTTATTGACGTAACCATTTGCTATAAGTTGAATTTTTTAATTCAACTTTACATAAGGTAAAGACAACACTGTCACCTGTCCCTTTTGGTTCTTAGACCGAAAGAAGGAGCATGTTGACCTGATCAGAGTCACTATGACAAATTGTACTTGTATCTCGGATTTCGTATTGATGCATCGAAAATAGATAAGGACAAATCTTTTGAAAAAGAAAAATTCCTCATTTATTGATATCAAATCGTTCGCTACATGAATTTGCTGGCATATTTGGCTTTAGTCAAATCCCTAATAGAGGAAAAAACTTCATCTAAGAAACTTAAACAAATTGAAATATTGAAATATTGGAAAGGCAGACTTCGGATTTAGCTGTGATATATCTTCAGCTTATCCGCATTCCAAGTTCGCTTTATTTCTTTGCCTTCCACTGTTTCTAGATGTAGGCTCCTTTTCCAAGCTTTTCTCTAACTCGGTATGGTCCTTCCCAGTTTGCAGCTAACTTTCCATCTCTGACATTTTTATTTCCAATATCCGCTCTCCTGAGTACCAAATCATTTTTCTCGAAAATTCTTGGCCTCACTTTCTTGTTGTATCTGACTGCCATCTGTCGCTTGGCCATCATATCCCGGCAGTGAGCTGTAACCCGAGCTTCGTCAGCAAGGTCTAACTCGGCGGTGAGTAGCTTGTTGTTCTGCTACTCGCCTTGCTTGCTACTATTCATCTTTCTCCAAGAAGGTTCTCTGATTTCCACCGGGATTATGGCTTCGCAACCATATGTCAGTCGAAAAGGGGTTTCCCCTGTTGTAGTTTGGGTACTTGTTATGTATCCCCAAAGAACAAAGTAGAGCTGCTGAACCCAGCTTTCTTCGGCATCGAACATTCATTTTTTAAGACCATTCATGATTACCTTGTTGCTGCTTCAGCTTGTCCATTTGACTGTGGGTGTTCCACAGATGTAAAGTGATGTTTGACTTGCAAGTCTTTCATCAATTGTTGGAACCTTTTATCAGCAAATTGTGTTCCATTATCAGTAACCACCTCGCCTGGTATCCCGAATCTGGAGACTATGTTCCATTCAAAGAACCTTTGTACTCTAGCTGAGGTTATTGTGGTGACTGGTTCTGCTTCTATCCACTTTGTGAAATAATCTACAGCCACAATCAACCACTTTAACTGCCCTTTTGCGGCTTTGAAGGGTCCCAGCAAGTCCATTCCCCATTTGAAAAAGGGTTATGGCGCCGAGATATACTTCTGTTCTTCAGGTGGTGAAAGAATTAGCTTGGCATGCTTCTGGCAGTTATCGCATTTCTTCACATGATCTTTAGAGTCTGCCTCCATGGTCGGCCAATAATAACCAGCTCGGAGGGCCTTTCCGGCCAAAGCTTTGCCTCCCACGTGATGGCCGTTGATTCCTTCATGTATCTCGGCCATAACATATTCTGCTTCATCCGAGTTTAAGCATTTCAGCATGGGTACGTGCAACCCCTTTCTAAACAGCTAATCCTTCACAACTGTGTATTGTGTCGCATCTCGGACCAACTTCCTGGATTCCAGTCGATCTTCTGACAATATTTCTTTCTCAAGGTATGCCACTATGGGTTGTCTCCAGTCATTTGTCGAGGTAATAACCATCACGCAACTCGGCATTGTTATGCTTTGTTGTACCATAGTTTTGTGGTTGCTTGGGTTTTTGGTACTTGCCAATTTAGACAAGATATCAGCCCGGCAATTTTCCCCTCGAGGAATATGAGTGACCTGTACTTCATCGAAGTCGGCCATTATTTCTTGAACCTAACTCAGGTACTTCATCAGTAGAGGATCTTTGGCCTGGTACTTTCCTTCTATCTGCGAAGTTACCAATTGTGGGTCACTGAAGATTTTCACCTTCTTAGCTCCGTGTTCTTTAGCCTGCATCAATCCGGCTATCGGAGCTTCGTATTCTGCTTGATTGTTCGAAGTCGGGAATCCCAAATTTAAGGAGTGCTCTATTGTTACTCCTTCCGGGCTTTCAAGTATGATTCCTGCTCCACTTCCTTTATGTTTGGAGGATCCATCTACGTAGGCCTTCCATGCATCCCCAGATTCGCTATGTTCCGAGTTCATTGGTGTTAGCTCCATTATGAAGTCGGCCAGAGCTTGTGACTTGATGGCCTTCTGACTTTCATAAGCTATGTCATACTCACTGAGCTCAATTTCCCAGTTAGTCATTCGTCCCGCCAAGTCCGGCTTGTGTAACCCCTGCCTTATAGGCTGATTGGTCTTGACTATTATTTGATGTCCCTAAAAATATGGCCGCAATCTTCTAACCGTGATCAGTAAAGCAAAAGCCACATTTTCTAGCTTTTGATATCTGACCTCTGCACCTTACAAAGCTCTACTGATAAAGTAAATTAGCTCATGGCCTTTATCAGTTTCCTTGATCAGGACTGCACTTATTGCCTCTTCCCCCACAGCCATATACAGGATCAGAATGTCTCCTGGTTCTGGCTTTGAGAGCACTGGTGGAGTTGCGAGACATCTTTTGACTTTGTCGAACGCGGCTTGACACTCCGGGTTCCAGCCTTCTATTGCTTCCTTCTTTAATAGTTTGAAGAATGGGAGGGCATTCTCAGCAGACTTTGGTAAGAACCGGGTTAATGCAGCTAATCGGCCGGTTAACTGTTGAACCTCCTTCTTATTCTGTGGCACCTTCATATCAAGTACCGCTTTGCACTTGTCAGGGTTTGCTTCAATCCCTCTGTGGGTTAACATGAAACCCAAAAACTTTCCAGCTGGGACTCCGAACGCACACTTTACCGGGTTTTGACGGATTTGATATTTCCTGAGTTTTTGAAAAGTTTGTTCGAGATCCTGGACATGGTTTGTCATATCAAATGAGTTGATGATCATATCGTCAATGTATACTTCCACATTTTTGCCCAGCTGACTCGCAAAACCCTATTCACCATCCTTTGATAAGATTCCCCTAAGTTTTTAAGCCCAAACGACATCACATTGTAGCAATAGTTGGCCTTTTCAGCAATAAAGATGGTTTTTTCTTGATCTCCTGGGTACATTGGAATCTGGTTGTAACCAGAATATGCATCCATGAAAGACAGCAATTGAAATCCAGCCGAGTTGTCTACCAGCTGGTCTATGTTTGGCATAGGGTAGGAGTCTTTTAGACAAACCTTGTTCAAGTCCGTATAATCAGTACAGACTCTCCACTTCCCGTTTGGTTTTTTCACCATCACCACGTTTGTCAGCCATGTTGTATACTGTATTTCTCGAATGAACCCTGCATCCAGTAATTCCTTCACATGTTCTTCTAGGACTTGCTTCATTTCCGGTCCCAACTTCCTTTTCTTTTGAGAAACCGGTGTGGATCCGGGGTAAACTGCCAACTTGTGGCAGCAGAAGGCAGGGTCTATCCCTGGGATCTCTGATGATCTCCAAGCAAATACATCCGTATTGTTTTTGAGGAACCTGATTAACTCTTGCTTAATCCGAGGATCTATAGTCTTACAAATTCGGGTAAACTGACTAGGTTCTTTCCCCAATGCAAGATCTTCTAATTCTCCATCGGGCTCAGGTCTCGGGATTACTTCTTCTCTCATGTCTAGTTCAACCACGTTGATCGGCTTCCTTGAGTGTTGAGGAATTGTGTTCTTGCCGAGTTTATCCCCTGGGTGAATCCGAGGTGGACTCGAATGTCCGTCTTTATTTTCTTTGACGGTGTCAAAATAGCATCCCCTGGACTCCTTTTGATCTCCACAAACAGTAATTATTTCATTCTTATTGCTCACCATTTTTATTTTCTGGTGCTTTGTAGAAACCAGCATGTCCCACTGGTGTATGGTTGGTCTTCCCAGAATTATATTATATTCAGATGGGAAGTCAGCCACTATGAATCTGACCCGTTCTGATTTGAATGTTTCTTTTGTTCCCAAGGTCAACCTGAGGTCTATGTAGCCTTTACGAGGTGTATGCTCTCCATTAAAAGCTATCAAATTCGTTTTGCAGGGTTGAGGTCCTCCACATCCAGGTTCATCTTTTTGAAAGCGTCCCAGAGTATGATGTCGGCACTACTCCCTGCATCCGCAAAATTTTTCTTAACCCGGCAATTTACCAAGGTTCCAGCAATGACTAACCCGTCTACATGTCCCTGCAGCACACCATGCATGTCCTCTTTTGTGAAGTACAAAAGGGTAGGGTCTGGTTACTCAGGTCTTCCTTGAATTTAGGACGGTCTCGGATGGAGAGTACATCTTTCAAATACTTTCTTCTGGCACTTATCTTGTCTCCTCCTCCTCCCAGGGCTCCACTAATTACATTGCAATCAAGTTCTGCTTCCGGGAACTCCTCATGGTTGGAATCATTTTTCTGATTTCGTTCCTCCTTGTTTTTCTTTTAAGGAACCGGGCTTTTACTTCTATTTCTGTTTCACGACTTCCTTGTGTTATTTTTGGAACCCTGGGTTTTGATAACGTATTGGCATAACCTTCCATCTCGAACGAATTTCTCCACAGCATCTCGGAGATCCCAGCATTGGTCAGTAGAATGACCCGGTCCGTCATGAAATGCACAGTACTTGGACTTGTCCAAACCTCCTCTGTCGAATATGGGCCGGGGTCTTTCTACCTTCTTCATTTCCTTCATCGCCACTTTCCTCCAGATTTGAGAGCGTGGCGCATTTAGCGGTGTGTACTTCTCGTATCTTCCAACTCGATCCCAGCCATCCAGGATTCGGGCCCTAGACTCCTTTTTCTTGTTATCAACCCGTTCATTTCCTTTTGAGGCCGGGCTTCTCCTTCTTAGGCTAATTCTTTTGCCTTCGTCAGATTGCGCATTGGCAATTCCCATTTGCTCAAGTTCGACGTATTTTTTCGAACGAGTTCTGAATTCTTCCAACGTCTTCACTGGGTCCTTATACAACGACTTGGCTAGCCTAGATGTACCATCCAAACCAGCCACAATGAGATGTACATGGACATTTTCTTGTAAACCCGGCACTTGTAATGCAACATCCTTGAACCGATTGAGGTATCGTTGGAGGGTTTCGTCGGGTTGTTGATGTATCTTTCCAAGTGAGAACTCGGACTTCGGGTGTTTCTTGCTCGTTGCAAAGTTTAAGAGGAAATTTTCCCCGAATTCCTCAAAAGACCCAATTGAGTTGGCAGGTAAGGTAGAGAACCACGCCTGCGCAGCCCCAGTCAGGGTTATTGCAAATATCCGAGATATAAGGGGCTCGTCTATTCCTCGAATGTACATGTCTGTATCAAAAGCATCGATATGGACCTGTGGGTCTTGACTTCCATCATATTTCGGCAGTCGTGCCGAATCAAATTCTTCTGGGAAGGGTGCATTCAAGATCTCCCCAGTAAAGGGGCTGTTGTTATACTGCCCCCTACTATATTTTCTTCTATAGGCACCCGATTCTAGCCGTCCTCGAACTATCTATGCGTCTCGGCCAGGGCGGGTTCCGTCCTGGTTGTTCTGCCCATTCGCTTCTGTTGAAGCATTTTCAATTATGGGTTGCAGAGGATCGTTTTGTCCTTCCAACACCTGGTTTTCCAGGTTCGGATTCGTCGTGTTCATCGGATTAGGCCTTTCACGATTTTCCACCTATATACCCCGATTCTGATGAACTGAGTTGCGATTTCCTTCCCGGCCATTGGCATTCTGGCCTTCGTTTCTTCCAGTTAAACCCATTAAGCGTTGTTCCAAGTCTCGCATTCCCATGGTACTTTCCTCACGTATTGTTTGGAAATCTTGTTTCCGCTGGAGGTTGTTGCGATTTTCTAACTCTGCCATTCGCTGCATAATCGTAGCGAATGCATTCTGAGCCAGCCGGGTATCTGGATCAGCTGATTGGGCAATACGCGTAGCAAGATCCCCAGGGTGTTGGGGAGGGTTGTTCCTCACTGGAGCCATGATTGGATCAAGACCCCTATCATGACGCGCTGGAGTGGAAGCGGTGTCTGAGACATCTTTGCTGACATGGACGTGATCATAATCCACATCGGTTCCTAGCTGGTGTTGAGGCTGATTTGCCTCTTCCCGAACTGGATCCAGCGGTTGGTTCTGGTTTTGGGGTGGCTGCTGGCTACTGCTCCTTGTTTGGATTGCCATCTTTTGTCAGATTAGTGGGAACTTCAAACTCATAGAAGAATTCCCTACAGACGGTGCCAATGTTCTGTCCTTGAGACAGAGATGTCCAGCCCAATAGGTTGGTATGTTACTTTTGGATCTAGTGCCCTCTCCAAGGTATCTATGAAGGAGATACCCTTGAGTCAAGCAGATCACTGTGCACATAATACTATAACGGCGTTAGCCAATGGGGTGTGTGTGTGTGCACAATGACATCATAATAGTAAGAGAGAGAGCGTAACGTACCTTTAGGGTTTACCTTGTATTTATAGAGGTTACCTGTGGGTAGCGTGGATAGGCCTTTGGTGCCCCTGGTAAGGGCCCATGCCTGCTTGCTATGCTTCGTATTAGGATTAGTATCCTTTACGGATGTCTATCCATGATTATTATTGATTCATATCTTGGATTGCCCCTTGTTGGGCTTACCACTTGATGGGCCCCTTTAATGGGTCCATAACAGACGCAGAAGGCAATATCTGGTCTGGTAATGGTTGCAAGGCTCCGATAATGGAGCAATACTGAGCTGGATCTGGATGGGGGACCCATCACGAGAGGAGAGCTTGATACTGGACACCATGGGTGAGGGCATCGGTTTGCAGTCAACCATTTTTGCTTTCTTTAGGAGATCCAGAATATATTTGGACTGATTAAGATGATATCCACCAAATTTCATTCATTGAGCTTTAATCCCTAAAAAATAGTGAAGGAGTCCAAGGTCCTTGAGGGCAAAGTCACGATTGAGGAACTGAATCAAAGATTGAATAGTTGAGGAAGAGGAGGAGGAGGAACCTGTGATTAGGATGTCATCAACATACACAAGTACAAAGAGGGGGGCCTGTGGAGTGATGGAGATGAAAAGAGAGGAATCATATTTGGCAGTGCTAAATCCGAGTTGGTGAAGGGTGTTGCTGAGTTTCTCGAACCATGCTCGTGGAGCCTGTTTAAGGTCATAAAAAGCTTTGGTGAGATGACACACAAGGGTCTTATCATGATGAATGAAGCCAGGTGGTTGTTGCATGAAAACTTCCTCTTGAAGATCTCCATTCAGAAATGCATTATTGACATCAAGTTGATGAACTGGCCAGCCTCTGGAGAGTGCAACAGTGAGAACAATGTGAATGGTCACAAGTTTGACTACTGGACTGAATGTCTCTTGGTAATCAAAACCTTCTTGTTGATGGAACCCCTTAGCTACTAGTCTAGCTTTGTATTTGAGAATGGATCCATTAGGGTTGTACTTTATACGAAATACCCACTTGTAGCCAATAGGGACCTATTGGGAGGGAGATGAACTAGTTTTCAGGTGTTGTTGTGAAGGAGAGCTGCATACTCTTCCTGTATAGCCTTCAACTAGTGTGTTTGAGATAAGGCTTGAGAGAATGAGTTGGGTTCCAGAGAAACTGTAAAAGCTTTTGGTTTGAATATTCCAGCTTTAGCTCTAGTGACCATAGGATGGCTATTGGTTGGGGGAGGAGCTTGATCAGGCACTGGTGCAACTGGGGTGACCCTGCAAGTAGTGTTAGTGGGAGTAGGGCACCTGCAAGTAGAGTTAGTAACATTAATAGAAGAATCAACAGTTGGAGCACTCACTGCTGGGTTGTTGGGAAATATTGAAAGTAGATTCATCAAATAAGACATGTCTATCAATTATGACCTGGCCAGTTGGACTTAGACACCTATAACCCTTATGTGTGGAGCTGTAGCCAATAAAGGTACATTTAGTAGAACAAAAACTAATTTTATGTTTGTTGTAAGGCCTAAGGTAAGGGTAACAAGCACAACCAAAAGTTTTAAGAAAGGGGTAGTTTGGAGTCTTTTAGAACAGAACTTCAAAAAAGGATTTATTTGCAAGGATATGTATGGGTAATTGGTTTATGACAAATGTGCAGTTAGGAAAGCATCTTCCCAAAATTTTGTTGGTAGGTTGGAGGCTGCTAAAAGAGCTAGGCCAGTTTCCACTATATGTCTGTGTTTTCTTTCGGGTTTTCCATTTTCCTGGTGCGTGTAAGGACAGGTAAGACGATGAATGATCCCTTGTTGTTGTAGAAGGGATGCAAGATTGAGGTAGTCATTTCCATTGTCAGTTTGAATAGCTTTTAGTTTTGTGTTGTGTTATAATTCTACCATTGTTTTAAATTGGTGAAAAATGTCAAATGTTTGAGATCTATTTTTCATGGGATAAATCCAAGTGTAACTTGAGTAGGCATCAATAAAAATGATGTAATATTTCGCACTAGAGGTGCTGTTTGCAGGTGCAGGACCCCAAATGTCAGATAACACTAGTTCTAGAGGTTTTGTGTAAGTAGTATTGTTGTTTAGTATATGTAATTGGTGCATTTTTTTCATACAACAAGAACAACGTAACTTTGGATTTGTTTTATTGATCTAGGGTATATTACAATGCCTAAGAATCAACTTTGTAGTTTCAAGGGAGGCATGAGCCAATTTAGAATACCAGAGATCCAAAGTAGAAATGCTAGCAGTATTATTACAAGTGATACTTTTGCACGAATTAGGTGCTACACTTTCACAGTATGGAGCAGTCCTAGCTATGTTTCGTTTGGACTTTTATGCTCCATCAAAGGCATACAATCTGTTTCTAAGCTTGCCTTGGAGAAGGATCTATTTGGTAGCCTGGGATTTGACATAGCAATCGAAAAATATATTGTGTTCTTTGGCAAATTGAGATACACTCAACAGATTTTTGGATAGGCTAGGCACATGCAGTAAGTAGGATAAGGTAAAAAACAAAGGAGAAATAGTAGAGTGTAAGATTGAGTGTCCTATATTTTTGATTCTCAAATTAGAGCCATTACCTACTTGCACTGTTTCTTGGCCATTGTACTGCATTTTGTTTAGCGGGTTATTTGCATCTGGTGTGAAGTGGTTGGTTGCTCCCGAGTCAGGGTTCCAGCATGAGTCCGTGATTGAGAAGTAATCAGAGGAACCTTCATCTTGTTGAATGGAGCCACTATGATTTGTGGCTGCTATATTGGCTTGAAAATTGGTGTTGTTGTTGTTCTGATTAAAAGGAATTTGGAAATTCTGATTGAACCTGTGATGGCACTCCCAGCCAAGGTGGCCATATTTTCCACACACTTGACACTGTGGCCTATTTACATCGTTTCTGCCACCTCTTCTTCGAGGTCTGAATGCTCCTTTATTTCCAAAAAATCTTCCTCTATTTTGATGAAATCCTCCTCTGTTGTTTTGACTGAATCCTCCTCTGTTATTTCCTGAGAAGTTATTTTGCCTTGTGAATTGCAATCGTACCACGTTTGCTTGCAGAGTTGTAGTGAGATTTTTCTTGTGTTTTTGAGTCTTTGTTCCCGAGTCATGATGAGTGCTTCAATTTCTCCTACAGTGTAGGGACCAGTTCTTGAAATAATTGAAGTCACAAAGGAATCATAGTCCTCATTCAAGCCATCTAATATGTCATCAATATGGTCTTCTGCATTGACTGGTGAACCAATAGCAGCAAGAGAGTCCACATTTTTCTTGATTTGGAGCAGGTACTTCGAGACATCTCCTTCTTTTTTTGTGTTTCTTAATTGAATCTTCAGTTGCTTGACCTTTGCTCTTGTTTGAGAGGCAAAAAATTCCTCAAGTTTGTGCAAAACTTGGAATGTGCTCACACATCATACCATACGAGTGTACAATGTTTCAGACATAGAAGAAAGTAGCCAAGACAGAATAAACTGATCTTGCTATGCATTACGGTTTCTTGAACTTGAATCTTGAGCTCTATTACTAGCAGCATCATCAACTGCTTCATCACCAGCAGTGTTACCAACAATTTCATCTTCAGCAGGTGTTGAATCTTGCAATTCTTGAGTGATGAATCTTGATAAATTGTAACCTTTGATTGTAGCTAATGCTTGTTGTTTCCATAGTAGAAAATTATCCTCATCCAGCTTGAAGGAAACTGGATTGGAGAAAGTGTGAATGGAGCTTTGCAGCGAGCGATTGGTCTCTATGGATCTTTAGCTCTGATACCATGAAAGGTATCACATCAATGATGAGAATGAAGAAAAGTAACCAAAGAGAAATGAGATCTTAGTCTCTTGTATCAGTGGCTGAGTACAATATGAATTGTATATTTGATCTGAATGAGCTAAGTC